TTATTTTGCCATCTCTAAAAAAGCTCTCATGAGGAGCATGGAAACAGGATATGTAGGACGATCAAGAGCCTGGTGTTGGATATGACAGGCTCTATGCTCTGTCTTAATGGTGACTAAGAGAGAGAAAAATCTGGCCTCCAGAGAGGCAGAACACAAAATGCTATGGAGGTTCTTGCAGCCCAAGTTGGTATCTTAATACAGAAAACAACAGCCAGACACCCCTTCTCTGTGTGAGTTCAGTGTTTCTCAACACACTCTAACTTGCTTACTTTCCCAAACAAGATGAAAAAAAATCCACCAGAAGTTGTCAGCTACCTGTCACCGCACCCATAAAATGGTAAGATATCAAAAAATCCTGCTTACCCTGGGGATACCCTTTCAAAGTCTGCACATACACAGTGCAGGACAGCGACAGAAGCTCACTGGGCTTACTTGTGCAGAGTAACATCTATTGTAAAGTAACTGGATAAAAAAGTAAAGTCAATTTGGTTCACAATGCTCCAGTGTAAGGGAGAGCACAGCACAAACACATGTAGTTTATTGGGAGAGTCTCGGTTTACACCGGATGGGTTCTTCACACAAAAGCAAAGAAAGCAGGGTTTTATAGTGGCCTGTTAAAATTATGTTTCACTTGAAAAATTGGTTGATGTTTAATTATAATGGATTGAGAAAGATTGAAAAGTCCTAGATTTTGACTTCCTAAATAATTTCAACTAAAGATGCACTATGTTAAGATTTTTCTTGAACAATATAATCTATTAAATCTATTAAGCTGTGTGAAATAGAGCCTGGATTTCTGTTCTAAATTCCTGTCAGTGGAAAATAAAATAAATAGAGAGGAAAGAGAGGATTGTACTGTGGAGTTTTTTTTGTTTTGTTTTGGTTTTTTTTTTTTTTTGGTGTTGGGTTTTGTTGTTTTGTTGTTTTTGAAAGTATAGCACAAAAATTGTTTTAGACAGGTCTATGAAAGGTGGTCACCAAAACTGGTCATTATGTCTTCAAAAAGGCTGTTAACCCTACCAATGGGTGTTTGTACCATTTCTTAGCCTGTGTCTGTACAGCAGTTTGTGACTGCTGTGTAATGGGGCTGTAGCCAAACAATATGTAAACCAGTCACATCAAGCAATAGTAGCAGTCTGTCTTCAGAAACACAGAGCACAGTTCAAGCTACAAAATACATCCAGAATGTTGAAAAAACAAGGAGGTTAACTTATGCTGAACTCAGTGCTGCTCTGGCTGGTTTAAAACCTCAGCTGTATTTACATTGAAATGCTGAAATGGTGGAGACAAAAAAACTTGAGCCTCAGCTCTGGTTGTGCGTGCAAGTAATTGGGAGGAAAAAAAGGAAAAAGGGCTCAAAAAATAGGCTGTATACCCTTGATCAAAGGAGAGGTGTCTGGGCACACACAGAGTATGGTAGAGGAGCTCTTGATATAGAAAGGTTTTACTAAGTAGCCACCCAAGGAAGTCAACAGAGTCCAATGAAAACAGAAATCTTTCAACAGAGAAAACCAACCCCTTCTGTGTTTTCTCTGTAGCTGAGAGAACTTTATCTCTTGTAGATAATGAAAAATACACATCAAGTATGATAAATATACATCAGCATATAGCTAGCAATTCACTTTTTCTGGTAATTGCATTTTCTCTCTGTTGGTTCTCTTTGTTTCTCTAACAGTCATCCCATGGATATTTTCATGAAGACATTCATGAGAATAGAGAATGCACTTGTAGAGTGTCTTGTAGAGACAGGGGAAGAAATAGGTTTCTGAGGGCTATATTCACCATACCATGCCCAAGGGACTTCATGTACTGTCTAACTGCACTGACTGATTTTAGCAGAAAAAGGCAAAATCAAATGTATATCCACAAACTGGGAGATAGATAAGAGGCTGTTGTGCTTTCAGACTGCGTTTAAAAAAATGGAAGCAAAATGGAAGCAAACTAATTGCTTTTGCTCTTATTTACTGTTTCTTAAGAGTCTTTGGGAAAACACTGATTTTCCCTTTAGTGCACTTTTCCCGAAGTTTAATTTTCCAATGGCTTGGGGCCTCTGAAAGCCTATTTTAAAATTCTGGTGACAATTTCGCATTCTGGAAGGAATTTGAACGTGTTATTGCATGGTCCAAAATATATCAACTGCTATAGATTATGTAACAAATATAGTTTAACATATAAAAATGGTGTCATTACATGTATAAAACCAGAAACTTAAGAAAAAAAAAACCTACATTTTTAAATATAAACTCATTTGTCAACTCTACTTCAATAAAGAAAAAAATATTTTAAATATGACCATAATATTTCTTATGAAATACCTTTTATGAAAGTAATAAAAGTATAGGAAAAAATATCAGTAGTATAGTATTCTGAATATTAAGCAATCATCATTTCTAACTACAGATAGGCAGACAGTTTTTGAAGTGTATGAAAGATAAGATTTTCTAAAGCCTCGCTGAAGATTGGTGGGAAGCTCCCACCGACCATTTGTAAGCCACACTGAAGAGCATGGAAAATTCTAACCAATCTAATTTTTAAATTAATTTGCTCATTGTTCAAGATTATGCAACTCTAAATAATTTATGGTATAGCAAAGGTTTATCCTATTTTATATTGCATAATAAAAGCGTGCAAACACTTTATGTAAGGTGCTCTCAACGGTCAGTTATTTGTGAACCAATTTTATTATTACATTAGTGAACACTTGTTATTCTTGAGTCTACATTTGTTTTGTGTCACTGGCTATATTAAATTGGAATGTTTCCATTTCCTGATTGTTTTTATTTATTTATTTATTTATTATTTTTCTAAACAAACCCGTATATAAATGTTAAGTTAGAGGTACAAGTACAAATGACCTTGTCTTGCCTTTTCTTCCAAACAAAGTCAGGGTTTTTGTTTCAATACCTGTAAACAAAATTTTGGAGTATTCACTCAGTTCTGGTGGCCAGAACAGTGGTAAATTACCATCTCTAAGGCTGGCAGAAGACAAAACTGCTGAAGTAAAGACATTCCCAGATTGGTAGAGAATTTTGAGCTGTCTCTTGAGCCACATATGCATCTGACAAAATCAGAAAAAAGTACAGAGCTACAATCGTTGCCCCCAGGCCCACCATGGACATGACACACCAGCCAGACCTGTCCTGAGCAAGCAGCACTTGCTTGAACCAAAATACTGCGCAGCCACTCTCTCACCAAGTGCCTAAGACAAGCATTTCTATTTCCTTGAGCCCAGAGGTCTTCAGCACAACAGCATGGTAATAGCTTTACGAGTGAACACTATCTCACAAGTGATAGGATATAAACCTGTTTTTAGAGAACCGCTTGCAGTGCCGTAAGTCTGTGTCATCATCCCTTCCACCAAACATGTACACTGAAGGAGCCATAAAATTCATTCACATCTTGGAGGCCCCTCTTATCAAATAACAATAAATGAAGCTCTGCAGGTCAAATGTTGATTCTAAATTGTATCCTAGTACTGTTTAAATTATAAAACTATGAGAAAGCTGAGTATTGTCATTATCATTAAATACTACCCCTAAAAACGCATAAGAAACATTGCCGATTGTTCTGGGAAGGAAGTTACTGCTATGGAGATATTACAATTACCAAGTACTTTATATCATTTAAAGTATATATTTAGCTTAATTGTGGTAAAACTAGATCGTATTCTGTTGATTTCATAATTACTAGAAAAACTGCAAAATAAAATACATGTTTTGGGGGACTGAGAATTTGATGTGGTTTATAATCAACAACATTGTTCGCAGTGACGGATCTGAGTATAGAGAAATTATTTCACGTCGCAGCACTGGGGCTAACACTTGCTTTTCCACTTGCTTTTCATTACCATTGCAAAGTAGTTTTCATAGACAGTGCTTATTTTAGTCATGGCAGAAACTAATGAATTTTTCAGACTTGTGTCTGGGTTTTATTATACTCCTATACAATCTTTTATTATACTCCTACAAAATCTGTTTTTTATGTATTGTACTATCAAAGAGTGGGCTGAGGATGCCCTTACTTCCCTTTGAATCTTTTTTACAACTTTATAATTCAGAAATTTAAACTTCTTTTTACCCATTATGAACTGGTAACCTCTGAGTCTGGCCTTGGTTCTCCCTCTGGGTCACTGTGAAGATTATCTGCACTACAGTTGCATCCAGAGCCTCTGTAGTTTGGGTCCTGCTCTTCTGAACAACATAAAAACAAGCCTGTAAATAATCCCCTCTCTCAAGAGCCTGCAGTCTGGTATGTTTACAGGACAGATTTTAGGGATGTAAAAGGACAGTTGAGCTAATTCATTTCAAACTAACATTCATATCTCTACTCCGTAGTGGAGAGTAAGCACAACCTAAGTGGGTAAGACAAGGGAGAGCAGAACGGGTACTAACTAAGTGATAGGAAACAGGAACTCTATTCCTCCCTCCACACCGCTGACATGAACGTGGTACTCACAGCAAGAGACCCAGCAGAGAAGACAAGACATCTTGAGTGAGAAGCTGTCAGTCTGAACATCATTTTGCCCTTTCTGCAAAATCCTCCTTCACAGAGACACGACCACCACGGGTGTGATTCGCAGCCCTGCTATCTGTTGGAGCTTCTGGAGAACCTCACCATAAGGTGGAACATGTGGCTGCCCCGTTGCTCAGGGAGGATAGGAGCACGGAATGTATTGATTAACTTTGTGCAGTTTTCTAGTGGAATATAAAGAGGTAAAAAAAAAAAAAAAAATGGGAGGAAAGGAAAAGGAGAGTTTGGCTGATACAAGGCTCAAGCAATCACCAGATACTAAACACTACTCTGTTTCTTCTACTGCTTTCACTTAAGTGGTCAGGTCATTTTGCTCCATAGATCATTTTTCTTATTGGAAAGAAAAACAACTGGCAAAGGTCTTTCTTACCTCAACATTTCCTCTGTTCTGTGTAGGATCTGAGTGGAAGGACAGTGTTACAGATGTGTGATTGCTGTTTTGTACGAAGGTGTCTCCTGCCACTACTTACATGGAACTGGCTGATTCCCTAGGAAGTGAGTGAAGAGCAGGTAGACCCTGGCGCAGTTGTTGTCTGATACAAAGGCATGGAGAGAGCAGCACTGAGGAACACACTGCGTGTAGGCTCGAAGTTTGCCATTCCTTCCTTGTACATTGGGGGTTTAGTGAATACCATCTAATGAATGAACAAGGAAAAGAAAAGGCATTGTATTGGTAGGACGGTAGATACTGCAGTAACAAAGGGCTTTGAAAAAGTAAACATAAGTAAACATATTTGAAACAGTAAAAAATTGAGCTTTTTTTTTTTTTTTCTTCTTTCTTTTTATCCTGTATGTCATCCATTGTTACAGATAATCACTCCGTACCTATGCCATACATGCCTCACAGCCTCACGCATACACTGTCCTGGCCACTTCTTCTGGGAATACTACAGTAATAACAACAGAGAGACAAGTGAGACAATAATGCTGGCATTTAAATTTGCAGTTACTCAAATTAGTTCTAACTGACAGCTGAGCCGCTACTTTCAATAGAGAAGTCAATACCTCAAAGGTCTTGTTTTGGGGAAGACAGGCAAAGGTCATGATTTCTCTTACTCACTGTGCTTACTCTGGCAGAGAAGGACTTTGAATTGTGACTGCTCAATACCACTCTTGGGGCAGGGAGAAGGAAACAGGACACTGAGAAAAGAGCAGAAATAAATGTGTGGTCAGTGCTGACCCTCTGCAGGAGCAATAGGCCCTCAATCTCTGGGAAAAGCTGCTTTCCATGTGCTCAAACAAACCTGTGTTTTTCAGGAGGGATGGGGATGGGGGAGGGGGTCCATGACAATCTGTATTGTGATTATGCAGCACCAGAAAATGTACATAAACTGGCTTTAAGCGACCAGCTCGAGTACATCCAGGGTAAAACTTTCTGGAGCTGCAACATCCACATGGGAAGCTGAGTAAAGACATGGGGGTATTCTTCACTGAGCTCCGCGGTGGAGCAGAGATACTGTCAGCAGCGTATGAACAAGCTAACGTGAAGCTAACTTAAGTATCTGATGGCAGTCAGGAGATATCCTCAGATACCAAGCACTGTGGGACTGGAAATGACAAGGCTGCATGGCCTCTTATAAAACTGTACATCTAAACTGGTCGTGCTGCACATGACATGATAACAAAGAGCAGATGCAGTTAAAGCACTTATATTTTAACTTGAGGGTGGATAAACCTCTCAGCTGAGAGTCACATACTGACAGCCATAAGACACAGATCGTGTATCTCAGAATACCAAAGGGAAAGCCATGGGAGTAGTTCCCCGATGGAAGATGGTAACTGCTCTGTGTGATCTCAGGTCTTCTTCCAAGCAGGGTTAGCAAGCAGCAGTGCACCCAGCTCGCTCCTTAATGATGGAGATGCAGCTGGGGAGAGCAGAGTGACCACACACATGGCCCCATGGCAAATGCAAAAAGGACTCACTACTTCTTCTGTTTGAAAACTGGCAAATAGCTGGTAAACAAACACAAAACAGCTTGACAAATTTCACAGGCTTTCTGGGGAGAAAATTAACAAATGGACCATCAGGTGGAGCAGGAGAACAATCCCCTAAAAAGGCAGACTTTTACTTCCACTGCTTATGGCAGGGGTCTTCTACGTGTGAACACCTTTACTACATCAAATCAAATGAGAATAATGCATGCTTTACTATGGGATGAGGTAATGTGACAACTCAGGCAACATTGCAGACCAAAGATAACTTCAAGTTCTGTAAAATGGTTTGCATCTGCATACTTTTAGGCCATACTTCAAGCAGCTTAATAAAAATTATAATGTGATTTTTAATATCATAACCTATAATTTATATTTCATTAACTACTCAAGCTCAATTTTGATACTGTAAAACTAAGCACATTCTTTTAAGCATTTACTCTCATCAATCAGTTGATTTTTCTGACACATGGCACATCTAATTCAGTGGTATTGGATCTCTGTTTTTAAATAATATTATGTTTTCCAGAATACCGATATGGTTGCATTTAGACATTTTTAAAAAAAATGTAGTGACAGCCATTTCAATCAAAACCAAGAAAAAAATTTAAAAAAACTTTCTTTATGTGGAATAGCAGCAACTGAAATAAGTCAGAACTACGAAAAACAAATCCAGTATTGGGATACTTTGGTTTCATTCATACTGAAGTTTGTTGTGTTGCAAGAGTTATATGGGCCCCATGTATATAAGTTAATACTGCAGTAGATCACCATTGCCATCTCCTGGTAAATAAACCATATAACTGTATTCTGGAGCTTTTTCTAAACAGCCATATATTGTACAACTGTACAGAGATTACACCATAAATAGGCAATAAAGGATTTAGGGTATTTATTGTGAGACTATCATTGCATTTTTATTCTTTGCTCACATAAGACCTTTATAAAGAACTGCATTACCGCTGATAAATAGTGGCATTTGTTCTAATGCACTCCTTACGCTGGGAAGAAATACTGCCAGTTATGACTCTGTAAATTAAGGTGAGATGATGGGTATTGTTGTGATTGAAACAAATACCAGTGCTGTTTAAGAAAAACCCACCATAACCAAAACAAATGCACACTCAGAGAGAAGGCATTAGTTTCCCGTGTATTGTGATGAGAGACAAATACAGGACTGTGCTACAGTAGTCAGCCAAGACAATGTCAAGCAGTGCTAAGCCATACCATGAGGTGACAGTAGGGATAGCAGCAGTGACAACAAGAAGCTGTCATTTCACTTCCTGGTATTTTTAAATCTTTTATTTTCTTGCCATTTTAATCGTCCTTCCCATCGTCATTTCCCATTCTGCTCTCCCCCTCTCATCTGTGCTCCCTTTTGTCTTTCTGCAGCTCCCTGAAACCTCCCAATAAATAATATATCTCCTCTCCCACTTGGAGGGGCCAGCAGCGGGCTGATCCTGAAGCCAGCATCAGCAATCCCCAGCAGAAGTGCAGGTGTGTCACACCAAGGGCCGTAAATCCTCACCTTGCTGGGCAATCGCTCACAGTCACGTGGGGAAGGAGAATGAGATGTGTCTACAACTCATTACCCCTCGGACCAGAGTGCAGCTTTCAGTGCGATGCTGAGCCTTGATAAATCATCCTTTCAATCAAATCAGTAAACAGAGAGAAATGCTATCTAACTGGCAATAAATTTCAGGCAAGTTCAGCAGGGAATGACAGATTAGTCGAATGTTTGTGCCTTGCTTTGTTTGTATACTGAGGTGCTGCTCTCTGCAACAAAGAAAGTGAGCTCCTGTATGTGCAGCTGCATACGCACTGTCAGTACTGCCCATTAATGACACGGAACAACCTCTTTAACAAGTTTTTGCTTTTTCCCATAGAAGCAGAAGAAATGTTTGTAACATTCTGGCAGAAGCTAGAGCTGACGGGTTTCTGACAACGCTGAACTTTGTGAAGCCAGAGTTGCATCATGAAGAGCATCTACCTCAGCATGGCCTTTGCAGTGGTGACAATTTGATGCGTTTCCTTCAGCCACACACCCAAGACTACAGTAGATGGGGTCAATTACAAACACTGAACACGAGGATGATAAATGTGGGCAAGTACAATGGTATTTTAAAGCTGCTGCAGTTTCAGAAAGAGTGAAGATTTACTGAAGCTCAGAAACAGCTGTGAAAAGTTGCAGGGTGTAGATGCTGGCTGAAAAAGAGAGCTTGGAATGGGAGCGTGAACGGGACCTTGAGAGACTATGAGAATGGTTTTTTTCCTCATCAATTTCATACCCTCACAAGGGGACACAGACTTGGTCTTAGAATTACAAAGGCATTTAGAAACCAAAGTCTCTGGCAGGTTACTCTTAATGATCATAACAGCTATTAAAGCCAAGAGGGACGAGAAAACACAGGCTGAATTATTAGATCATCCCAGGGGATCTGGAATCAACACACAGTGCTAATGGTATCTCCAGTCATTGTTATTAGATTTTGCCTAGAAACTTTTCCCTGAAGCACCACTGCAATTATATATTTATTAATTTATTTTTATTTGCTTTAGCTGTTCTCCACTCTTTATAAATATGCTTGCTTCCTATTGAAAAGAATAAAGTTGTCTTGGGGAGAAAATGGCATAACATCAGAAGTCTAAGGATAGAACCAGTGGCTTCCTTTGGAAATGGCAAGGAAAAATATAATATTAGAGGAAATGAGAAGACAGACAAATTAGAGACTGAAATATATTATCTTGTATTCATCTGCAACTGAAAAGAAATCAAGGACCTGCTCATTCTAAGGGGCTGAGAAGAATACACGTGTCTCAACGAAACCTGGGCTTAAAACACTCTAGGAAAGAAATTGGAAATGCAATTCCCACCATTTCACCTGTGATAAAGTACCATGTTTCCACAAAATGTGACAGAATGTGCGCCTGTTGCCTCCCATGTTCATGCAGGATTGAAAGATGAAGGCTCCAGTGCAGTGTAAGTCTGCTCCCATATGAATAATTTGGTAGCCAAGGTTGTTCTAAAACATTTTACTATATCAAACCAGGCAGCAATACAGTGCTATCATGGGCTGGCAAACTTGGGAATCAAAAAATGGAAGTCCAGTGGCACCAAGTATCAAATGCATGCAGGACAACAGTAATGAATGGTGCAGTTAATTGTTGCTGATGCTGCTTCATGCACTTCCTGATCCCTGCTTACTTGACAGCACCTGCACTGCTGAATAACGCTTGTCTGTTTTGTGCACATGCTGGGACCTGCACAAGGGAATCGACTCAAGTTGCTATCATTTTTACTCCTTCCAGTACTAAATTTCCTGTCAAGGAGGAAATAAACTTTGACTATTCTCTTATATTTACGTTGCCTACTTCCTTCCAGGGAACAGTTTGACTTGGCGTGCTAGAGTCGTTAACAGCAGCTTGACCATCATCAGTTCCTACAAATCATCCAACTATAAAACTTAAAGCATGGCGATTCTGAAAGGCACTAAGTTTACAGTGTCACAAGAAGAAATGCAGATATCCTAAGCTCTTTAGGGAATATACATATATACATATATATATGCACATGTATATGAGAAAGCGAGCGCACACCTTCTGTCTACACTAATAACCACATTCTATTTCCAAGGCTATGTATGCATCAAGAAAGTAAAGAAACCTCTCTGACCTTTTCCTAATGGTTTAAAGCTCTAAAAATCAGAAGGTGGAAAATAACCATAAGCAAGTTCTTTGCACAATGTAAGAAAGGGCTGTAAGACTGACCTCCCCCTTTCCCTTGAGACTGTATTTTCAGTAATTGTGCTTAAAATATATTCCTGAAAGAAAAGGGGGAGGCAGAAAGGGAGGGAACAGGGATATAATAATATTTCAAAGACTTCCTGAAACACAGATCATTGCTGGCTGTCCATCTTATCTTCCTGTTCCACATTTCTGAGGATTGGGAGTTTACTATTATGCACTGTATATTTTCCTTTACATGCATGGGTGGGAAGACAAAGATTCAAGCCTTTACGTTCCAAAAGAAGGACATTTTAATACAGTCTTTGGGACAGATAAGTCAGAGGTACGTTTGAGAAATGCAGAAAAATATGTCTTCACAGAACTGACTGTACTATCTAACAAGACCTATACAGCAGGATTATACTCTATGGCTTACGAGAGTATTGATCTGTGTGTACTCCTCAGTGGTGTTACATTCATTTCAACATTGATCTCCGTTTCATTACGCCACTGCATCATGCACTCTCAGTGTCATCTGAGTGCCACTCTAGAATCTGAGTGTCTTCTGTGCTGTCAAGATGTACAAATGCATTGTGCAGCTTGCAATTCAAAACATCAATTCCAAAAGCCTGTTTATTCACACATGCATCCCCCTTTTAAAATAATACCAAGGACCTACCTTGGTAGGTCCCTCCAAAGCAAGGTAAATATATAGTGAAGAAGACGTTGCTAAGTGCTTTTTCTTGGAGGATTTTTTTACTCTATGCATTGTTTGTGTTACCTTTCAAAGAAGCTTGAAAATACCATTTCTTTCCCTAACGGCTTCTTTCTATTCCATTTGGAAAATATTGATTTTGCTCCCCCCTGTGATTCTTATGCAGCACAAGTAAACATGGCTCTGTTTAATATATGTCCAAGTCTGTGCAGTGCCATCAAATTCACTATAGCTCTGGGAGAGAAACCAGCCCCTTTGTTGGTTTCTGGTATTGCTACAACACAATGCAAAATATCACAGTTCCTGCATGTCCAGAGAGGTTACTGGTTTTGTGGATTTGCTCATGCATGCTTTATTCTTCAAAGCACATGGCCGGGCACCAGGGCCTCATAAATTCTGATGTCAGCTTTAATAACACACTGTTGTTCAGTTGGTGTACAGTTACAGAGATACAAGAATACACGGACCAAAAGCTAATTGCACAAACCGTTGTGTACATACAAGAAAAAAAGGTAGCCATTATACCTAATGTGTTAACAAAATGATACACACAATCCTGGGCTTATCACCTAAACCTCTGCTCCATATTTTGCTTACGTTTCTATTGCTGTAAGTTAGACATGAGCCTGTTGTCATCAGGCTTATAAATATGAGGACAAAAGCCCTTAAAAAGCTACAGCAGCTCCCTGCAGGGATTGTCTCCTTCCCTGCTGAGCATGTCTTCAAGATCATGTGCAGACTTGCTAGTTCCCACTGTATTCTGTAATTCTGGGCAAAAGATAACTGATCTTGCACCTAATTATGCCTTCCTGTGGAGCTAGTGCAGGGCATCTCAACATTCGTGCCTCAGCCATTCCACAATAATCACCCTCGACTTCACTGTGTGATGTACTCGTGTGTCCTATCCTTCACATCTTTGAAACAGGGATAATATTTACCCAGCCGAGTGGAGGAAAATGGTTAGTTTTACTCTCCCCTACGTGTTGTAAGAGATGTGAACAAACTGGAAAAAACACCTATTATTTTACTCTTCCTGATTCCCAAGATTATTCTCTATAAATTCCCTTATTCTGCCTTCATACAGCTCCTCCTTGTTCTTGTCAGTATTTCCACAGTCAACCTATGCTCTTATAGCCATTTTTCTACTTTGAAAACAGTAATGCCATATTTTATTGCTGCCAATCCGAGCCTCAGCACTTCAGATACTGCACCACGGACCCTGATCCAATGTTTAAAGATGGGAATCTTTCCAAGGACATCCTTAGGCACTGGCACTAGATCAGACACTATATGTAGGGACGGATTTCTCATATCCTTAGGTTAACTTCTGAAAGAAAAAGGCTCTATCCAGCAGGAGAGTTACTTACCAAGCTAATATTTTATGCATTGAGCTCCAGAGTGTCACAAGATGATTGTAAGTATCACAGCAGTCAGCGTCATTCCACATAACGAGTTACCTCTGTTAAATTGTTACCTCACTTACAGCTGAAGAGACTAATCGGGAAAAGAACAAAAAAATACTGTTTATGCACTGCTGTATCACAATGCACTACTGTTCACATCTCTGATTCCTTTTCTTACAAAGATTAGATCTCAAAAAACACCAGAGGACTTTTACTTGCTTTCACTGCCCTTTTTTAATTGCATACAATAGGAGTTGACAGACTAACACTCCGGGAGACATCATTTTCACTGAAACTGCATATAAAAGATTCAGTAGCTGTGTAAATGTAAATATGTAATTTATAGAAAGGGCTCCATCTCTTTTAAAGTATGTAACACAATTCTTAAGTTACAGCATCAACAAAAACTATCATTCCAGCTTCAGCAGTTACTACTATGGGCATTAGCTGACCACAAGGATACACAGTCCTGAGCAAAAGCAACATACTGGCCAGTTCAAAACCACTGCTTGTTAATACATGTTCAAAGGATACATTCGGTATTTCCTTATTAATTTTAAAAATGTGTGTAAGGCCATCCCACAAAGGGATTGGGGCTTGCAGTAGTTTGCATGTTCTGCATTCAGACACTGAAGCTGTTAATGCCAGCCCTATGCCAATCACCTTGGTTTTCTCTCCTGGATGGCAGAGCATCCTTTTCTCTGTGTTGTGTCATAATGATGGTGGAATTGAGGAGGAGGAGGAGAAGAAAAGGGATGTCATTTCACAAATGATTCAGCTACAGTCATACTTCTCTTTCTACTTATTTCAATGAGTATCTGACAATCAAGAAAGGTGCAATTATCTAAAGTAAAGAAACTGCTATATTAACAGAAATAGTCTTTTACCACAGAGATTAAACATGGAATTTCAAGGGCTCATTCATCAATGCTTTGCTTACATGTTACAGATAATCTCTGAAAATCAGTACAGTTATACTTCTGGGAAAAGACAGTGATTAATGGGATCCTGCCTCTGAAGGACATATTTCAGGTGAAGAGAAACAAAAGTAGAATAGACAAGTGGCAAAAGCCAACGAGAAAATCTCTTAATTGTAGTCATTGTGAACTAATTCACAGATGGGTTATAGGAATACACAAGCTGCAGAAAAATGTTCTGGGATTTTATGCTCTTTTAGTTTGTGACTACAGCGAAGAAATGGCCAGTCTACAGGGTTGCCATAGCAATGTAAACAGTTATTTAAAATGCATTCCTAATGCTGGAGAAAACTGCACAGCCAAGGCTCTAAGCAACAGCATATTGTGCAAATAGGCCCTTCCATTCCCTTCACACTGAAACTTTTAGGAAGTTTTGCTGAAGAGATGTACTGCTTCTCCTTCCTCAGCCTACAGCTTGTCTTTGTCTGTGTCTCAACTTTCAACACCCCTTTCAATTTGCAATCTGCCTGCATTTCACTTTTACTACCACTTGTCATCCAACTCAATCCATGGATGTCTTATTTCCCCAACTCCACTGTTTTCTTCCAGTTTCAGAACTCAGCAGAGCTGCCTGAAGAACTGGAGATTCTTCCACATCCATTGGACACTGGAGAAACTTACACAGGTTCTGCATTTACAGCCTTCATAAAGAACTTCAACCTAGTATTGAAGGGCAGCTATGAAGTTAAGGTGCATATGTCCACAAAGACTTCTCATAAAACTACTTGTGAAGCTTGTCAGTGAAACTAACAAAGAAGCTTTACCAAGAGAGTTGGTCAGCTTCATTGCAGTGAACTTCTCTGTCACATTCACAGCCCCCAGAACTGTGACAGCATAATGACTTTGAAAATGTAATTTATTAGCAGTTATCATAATAATAACTGTTGGTCAAGAATGACTAATTGTACAGAATTGCCTTGATGGACACGGTGCTCTGCTGCACATTCAGAATCAATGGCTAGTGCAATTAAACCTCAGCCCTGTGTTTAGATATGTGTCACTCGATTGTAACAGACAGCCAAGTAACGTTAATTTACTAATTACCTAATCTTCTACTCCAGCATTCAGTCAAATAAACTCCTGACAGAAAGGAGGTACATGCAGATGAAAGGAGAGGAATAGGAGGTATAGAGGGAGAGGCAAAATAAACTGTGAAGCTTTCAGCATTTCCGAAGTGCCCCCCCACAATGGCACCACCACTAATGCCTGCTCTTCCCTCTGCCCCATTCCAAGTTGTTACATTCCAGATAGATGCCATTTTTGTAAGTCCAAAAAATTCAGTTAGATGGAAGTATTTCAAGTTCAAGGAGATTATACTATGTCCATTCACCATGCAAAGTTTCTTCAACAGATGGAGGGAGAGTCAGATGATCCCAAAAGGAAATCAGTGTTGCAGAGGAATGCAGAACAATCCCAGGGCTGCTGGCACCTGGAGCAGAGGGAAAGATCTTCCCACAAAACCAGGAGTCTCTGGTCTTCCCTTACATGGGTATAAACCAGAAGAAACTCAAGTCAAATTATTGGAATTTCCTAGGTATAAGATTGATTACAGAAAGGGAACATTTACTCCCATGATAACTGTTCCCCATCCTTTGGTTTATCACCCCTCCTCTCCCTCTTGGCATGGTGCAGCACAGCTCAAAATTTGGATGTGTTCTGAGGCAGCCCATCTGGGAGCCTGTGCACTGCACACCCACACACAGCGTGTTCAGAGCAGCAGGTGCTGAGAACATCTCTTACTTCCAGTGCTGCAGGAAGCAGAGCTGGTTTGGAGAAGGAATTAAAACCAAAGCAAAGAACATCATTACAGCCGTGCCCACTGCTCCTGCTATTTTTAATGTGGTGTTGGCATTTTCATTATAAGCTCTTATTTCCAGGTTTTATAACTCAATCATAAAAAATTGCTGAGGGCTAAATATTGGCAAGCAGCTCTGCTTGCCAAAAAATGAAGTATTTCCACAGCACAGAGAGAGGGATGGAGTCTCTAACTCTGCTTATTTCAGTGGCAAAGTGATTCTGACATGAACGAGGCTATACCAACAAGCAGCCTTTGCCAGAAACTTTGCATGATATGCCAGAAGGCCCATAGCCACATGCTAAAGCCACAGGCACAGCCCTCAGCTCCTCAGTCCAGAAACAATCAAACCACAATATTTTTCCTCAGCCTTCAGGTATGATTTGCTTTTTGCCTCAGATCTATTTTGAACGAAAAAAATAACGTTATACTCTAGAGGCGCTACTCACCACAGGTCTCCAGCTGTTTAATTGCCTTTGTAAGAACCGGAGCTCAAGGTGGCAACCAGGAGAAGTGGCACGGGCACTGCCTTGAAGTTCTCCTGGGCAGCTCTCTGCAGTGCAGGTGACCTGGATGGACCACGGTGCAGAGCTGGGACCTGAGATGTTGTGAACAGAAAGATGAAAAATGAGAAGCATTACTGAAGTGATACATGCTCTCAAGTGAATAGCTGCAGTTTCATTACAAAGTTAGAGACAAACGGAATGGCCTCCACTTTTTTTTTTTTTTCCCTGCCGGACAGTAGCTGTAAAAATCAGTTGGAAAATGTAACCATATATATACAAATATTTTTTAAGAATCCAGCACTATGACTTTACTGTGACCTTATCACTCTGCTGTGATAAAAAATGAAAAATGGGAAAATAATGTCTAGTAGAAATAATGGGAAGACAGAACTAGAGAATACCATCACCTCACAGCCATTCCTGCTCTTGTCTTACAGCTCAGTGATCTCATCTGCATGAATGGCTCTCATCAAGTTAATGGCTTTATGACAGTACTATGCTATTTTAGACACAATACTTTATGCGATGTTTTTAAATGTAAAATTAGAATTTCTTGAAAATCAACAAAACCTGAGCATTTACTAAGAAGAATATCATTTAGTAAAAAGTAAAAATTAAAAAAATGCAAGCTATATTTCATTGTAGGGTCTGCCTCTTTAAAGATCTAAGTGGTGTATACATGTCTTTGTTGTGTGATGCAGCGGTTACCATGGAAATTTATATTTTTTTTAAAGTTTAGTGAAGACGATGCAGTCAAAAACATAAATAGCCTGAGTCCCTGGCACAGTAAATTGTACAATGGCATTCCGGAATAAATTTACATGGCTTTTTTTTTTTTTTCTGTAAGTAGGTATTCAACACTAATAATTCTTTGTGAACAAAAATACTTTAATTTTCTTAAGAGAGCAATTATAACTTTTAACTGTACATGCTCCTGGATAATATTAAGTTATATGGTCCCTCATGTTCTCTTCATCTCTGATTCCTGAAAGACAGTGATCCAAGCTGTACCATATGGGAGAGTCTCCTGAAGTATTGCTTGTGTTAAAAGTGTTTGTTTGTTTGTTGTTTGTTTAAAGTTTTGCAGGAATACCACCAAAGAGATTTACACCGTGAGGTTTTTTAACAGCTTATATAACAGAATCAGAAAATTCGTTTGGAGTAAGTGCGAGTTATAGGCCTGTTGAGATCTCATACATATATGCTAGCCTGGAAGCTAGAAAATTCACTTATGTTTTGATTAGAAAAATAAAATAATACTTTTGAAGTTGAAAGGTTTGTTTTTCCTTACCAAAGCTCCAGATAATGCAATATCTTGTCTCCAACAATGGGTAAAACAATGCAGCCAAGAAAGAATCTAAGAACAGGGCAGACATTGATGAAATACTTTATATACTTCCCCCAGCCTAGAGCCCTTTGCATTTCACAGACATCCTGGGCCAGACAGAAGGACAATGAGCTTGTCCTTCAGGCCCAGTAACCTTTCAATTTGCTCAGCATCCCAGAGCAAGAAGTCAGAGCTGAGCTACAAGGCTGAGTTGCATCAACAGTAGTCATCACAGGATCATAACAAATATAATGTTGCTTTGATGAAAGGTTAAATGACTACTTTTGCTAATGATACATGCACAGAAGTAATGTATGATATATGGTCAAAAATGGATTTAAAATGTTTTAGCAAGATGGACAGAGTAGGTTAGTAAGAGAGCACGTTTAGCTGAGTCGGTTTTGGAGTTACTTCTCGAGGATAAGGGCCATTGTATCTTGCAAGCAAGTTGAAGAAACCAGCAACACAGCTATCGACAAAGCTAACAAGCTGAAGCTGATCCTTCTTTAGCACTCCTGCTCTGTCATGGACTGAGATCGCTACTTGGAATTTTTCAGTGAAAGAATATCATCTCAGGTCTTGGTTTCCCTTGGACTGGGCAAAAATAGGTTCTCTCCGCAGCAACTTTAAACTCATTAGGATGAATCTGGCAAAGCAACAATTTTTCGATTGGCCAATAAAAGTGATAAAAGTCTCATTCCTGGAGAAATGAGACCACTCCGGCACCCCGACCTATCTTTTCATCTGGTACACCTCGGTGTAGCTCTGTTAGTAAAAAGAGACTATCCGTGTAAGTATCACTTGAAGACCTGACTACTTCCAAACTCACAATAGGAATATGTTTAATAATTAATTTGAAAGTTACAGATCTTTCAAGATTAAATAGTTGAATTTTTATGCAAGCCATGTGAAATACTGGAATATTTTTTTTTCTGTCTTCTTAAAGTCTTTCACCGTGACTGGTATACAAGAGAATTTTTAAAAGAAACGGACCAGCAAAGAAAAACTCACTGTCCTGTATTTTATGATCAGAATAACACATTCCTTCCAATTGTCCTTATTAATTTATAAACAGCCATGATCCTAGGTTGTTCTGGTCATTCAAATTTATGATCAGAATAAAATTACTCTCAATTGAGTGAAAAAAAAATCTCTGCTCCAAAGATTCATAACAAGTGATAAGTATTCACTGGACTATAATTATGTCTTTCTTTTTTTCCTGTGCTGTTCCAGTGTTTTACTATTTTTTTTTTTAATATCAACATTTTAATTAAGCTTTAATCTTCACAGCACCAAACTAAATTAAAAGTATCTTCATAGTGTTGCTTTGGTAACTAGCAGAAGGGGGAAAATTACCTTATCTGTTTGTTCACCATGTTGCAACTGTAAACATCTCAGCTGTGGTCTTTAATCTGCACATTTTCACTTAAAAAAATAAAAAGATGTGTCACACTGAAACCAGTTATCACTGCTGGAACCACAAAGTGCCCACAGTCCTCTAGTGGGATCTCACTGTGATAGTCACTGACACACATACAGTTGGGAACTCTGCTCCAGGAGATTTAAATACCAGCTAATTAGGCAAGACACAAAAGAGGCAAACATAGGTGGAGCAGCAGAATCCATCACACAAAGTCCCCACCTTTTCACCTTCTAGTTCCTTCAGCAAGGAGTCTGCAATAAAGCAGAAATTATACATAAACTTCATATGAGCCTCCCAGTTTCTTGCACATAACAAGTGACCAATGTTCAGACATACTTGCCATATACCTGCCATGTCATTGTCCCAGTTAACGTATAGGTAAAATACTAAACAACATTTTGTTGTGGAAATGGTAAGAGGAAGGGGAAGAAAGTTATTAGACTTTTTTTATTTTTTATATGAGATACCACTCATCAAAACAACAGTAAATTCTCATCACCTTAGACAGAAAAAAGAAATACTTCATAAGATCAATTAAAAAAAAATAATAAGCCCACAGATACTGGCTACAGCAGCCAGACCATACAGTTTAACCTGAGCTTCTGCTACCTCTTTGGGAACAGCCCTCTAGACTGAGAGCAGTGAAGAGCCATGCCATCAGGCTGAAAGGCTGAAGCAATGTGCATATCAGCATCATCCGAAGACACAGCAGGAGCTCTCACATCTGCACAGATAAACTTTGCCAGCCGTAGGACATAAAACAGCACACACCCCTTCTCCCTAGCTCTGCTGCTTACGGTAATCCTTCCTAGGCAAAATCCTTTCCTCCAGTACTCATTTGCACTGAATCACATCTCTTGAGGCCAGCAGTTTTGCAGGGGAAACGGACTGCATGCAAAGCGATACGGAAAAACCTCGCACCTGCACAGCTGGCTCCCAGCCGCCTCTGCTGCCTGCCTGGGGCTCCAAGGCCCTGCCTGGCTTCTTGGGGAGGCAGCTGCTCTGCCAAGGGCAAGGCTGTCAAGGTGTCCGTGAGCACAGTGAAACTTAGAGGCTCACTCATTGCACACGCACTGAAGATTTGGCAAATTCCCCCAGACAGAACCATTTCCAGCCCCTCGCCATTGGGTTTCACTCTCCGTGTGTATTTTTTCAGTGTTCCCAGTTAAGCAGTTACAGCCTCAAATCTATCACTTTAGTTATCAGCTAGGTCACTTGCTCAACTTTTTTTTTTTTTTAAATAAAAGGTTCACTTAGCAAAAGGGGTTTAAAATGTGCAGAAGTCCACAGGAAAAAAAAAAAAAAAAAGCCATGCTACAATTCTGATTGAAACTTGCTTTGAATTTTCATTTTATTTTCAATTTACAACTTAATAAACATGAAACATCAAAGCCCATAAACCTAAGGCATATAAAAAAGTGCTGTCAAGCTGTGACAAAGTCAGTGTTCACCAAAGATACATCTTCTCCCACTGAGAGATCCTAAATTTGAGGCTGAACTGAGAATGACAGAACAGGCAGCACTGAAAGTCAAGTTCGCAATTGGTGAAATTTCTCTGTTTTCCAATTTTGATGGACAACAAAATGGTTGAAAGGTACAATTCATTTAGGGATGTGAGAAAAATGACAGAAAATAGAAGATACAGATTAAAAACATTAGAACTGTCAACTACTGAACATAAAAGGAGGGAAAATAAAAGACATTTTATTTTGCATCACCTTTTTATTATGTACTGGGAAAAAACCCTTTTTGCTCAAGTCACACGTACTAAATACCTATCTTAATCTTTCTTAAATAAGCCATGGAAAAAACAGATTCTTAAACTAAGATTAAATGTAGGCCTTGTGACATAGTAATTAAATATGAGCAAATGATGAAAACGAAGTCCTGTCATTCAGTATTCAAGAAGAAAACCTTTCCCCAAAGTATTTTACCCAACAAATCCTAGTTAGAATCATGTAAACAGATGAGCTGCATTGATCTCACTAAGAACAGCCTGAACCTTTTTATTATGTAATGGCTTTTTTTTTTTTTCCCCTCTAGGAACATATGTCTGTAAGGAATATTCAAGCAGCACTTAAGCAAAATAAAATTACTCTGTTCAATACACAAATTATTTCAAAAACCTACCTGTGTCTGTAATCAAGCCATAGGCTGTTTGCTGATTGCTAATTGTTACCATCATTTTAATTATTTTTTTTCACCTAGGAAGAAGAAACACCCCTGCAAGTAACTTGTAAGTACTGCAGCAATGATCTGAATGCATCAGGGTAAAGCAGCCGTCAGAAATCACTCAGATCAATGGTGAAAGTGCAGTCAAGCTCTTTGTGTGTACTTAGCAA